CTCAGGAATTTCAAAATTCAGTGGTACAGAGGGTCCCCTATTTATGAGGTAAGCTGCCGTGTTAACAACCTCAGCCCAAAAATACTTCGGCAATACAGAATGTATTCTCATACTTCTGGCTTGTTCATTCAGGGTTTTGTTCATCCTCTCAGCAACACCATTTTGTTTCGGTGTTCCAGGAACTGTCTTGATCATTCTGATCCCATTCTCCGAGCAAAATGCTTTGAACTCTTGGCTATCATACTCTCCTCCATTGTCAGACTTCAGACATTTTAACTTTAGACTTGTCTGATTTTCAACTTCAGCTTTCCATCTTTTAAAGGTAACAAACACATCAGATTTATTTTTCAGAAAATAAACCCATACCTTTCTTGTGGAATCATCAATGAAGGTGACATAATAGTGTGAGCCTCCTAGAGAAGTTACAGGAGCTGGTCCCCACACATCTGTATGCACTAGTTCCAGCTTCTCTTTCTTTGGCGTCCTTCCCACCTTTGAGAAACTAACTCTCTTTTGTTTCCCGTAAATGCAATCTTCGCACAAACCTAATTCAACATGTTTTAGGTTTGACAACTTCTTTTTGGATGCCAAAAGCTTCATTCCCTTCTCACTCATATGCCCGAGCCTCCGGTGCCACAATGTTGTATCACGACCATGATCAACTGTTGCTATAGTATCTCTTTCTATTGCAGTTGCATACAGTGTTCCCCTTTTGAAGCCTCGTGCCACAACCAAATTCCCTTTGGTTATCTTCCACGATCCGTTGCCGAATGTTGTTGTATATCCTTCATCGTCAATCTGACCCATATATATCAGATTTTTCTTGAGGCCAGGAATATGTCGTACATTTTGCAATTTTCATAGCGTGCCTTGTGAAGTCTTTATATGAACTTCACCTTTTCCGGCAATGTCGAGAGGTTCGCCGTCTGCTAGATAAACTTTCCCAAATTTTCCAGCAATATAATTATGCAATAATTCTTTGCATGATGTAGAGTGAAAGGATGCACTTGAGTCCAGAATCCAAGATTCGACTGGACTGTCTGCACAACAAATTAGTGTATCACCGACTTGTTCAGCAATTACATTTACTGAATTTTCTTCCTTCTTCTTCTTTGGTTCTCTACACTGGCTACTGTAGTGACCCTTTTTATCGCAATTCCAACAAGTAATGTCCTTGCGATTTTTGGATTGTCCTCTTTTCCTTGACTTTGATCTGTCACGACCATAACTCTGTCCTCTTTGGTTGATTCTCCCCCTGCTTTCGGTACTAAAAGCAGATCCTGGGGAATCACTTGATTCTCTTCGGCGAATATCTTCGCTTAGAACCATGTCTCTAATATCATTCAATTTGAGTTTGGTACTTCCTGATGAACTGCTAACTGCAGTTACTGTTGCAGACCAACTCTCCGGTAGAGATGATAGTAGAATCAACGTCCTGATTTCGTCATCAATTGTTATATTAACAGAACTCAACTGAGTTAATATTGTATTAAACTCATTGATATGTTCCGTGACTGATCCACCTTCTGTCATTTTTAAGTTGAACAATCGACGCATCAAATAGACTTTATTTGAAGCAGATGGCTTCTCATACATATTTGATAACACCTTCATTAGGCCTGTAGTGGTCTTCTCGTTAATGATGTTAAACGTCACATTTCGTGTTAGCGTCAAACGAATCACACCAAGAGCTTGGCGATCTAATAGATCTCAATCCGCTTTGGACATAGTCTCCAGTTTCACCTCGGTCAGAGGTAAGTGTAATTTTTTCTGGTACAAATAATCCTCTATTTGCATTTTCCAGAATCCAAAATCTTTGTCATTGAACTTGTCAATCTTAACCTTCCCTTCTTCCGATGCCATTTTTCACAAAAACAATTTATGTAAATAGTGCTTGTGAATAGTAACAATGATCAATAATGTCGCACTATTCTTGTGAATAGTACCTGCACCAATACTGTACTTTTCTACCAGAATTACACTGTCTGTGCTCTGATACCAGTTGTTGGGAAACGTATCAAGATAATAGAAGGAAAAGGATATTTAGGAGAGAAACAATAAATTGCACAAGACAAGACAAGACAAGATTTACGTGGTTCGGCAATTTTTGCCTACTCCACGGCCACACAAAGAATAGCTCTTTATTAATTGAAGAGAGAAAGAAGAAGTTTTGGGATGTTCTACAAATGAAAATGTAGACCCCTATTTATAGGGCATATGAATGTCATGCCGAGGTAAGTGCTTACATCATAAGAATGCCGATATAAGCGCTTACATCATAAGAATGATGAGGTAAGCGCTTACATCATAAGAATGATGAGGTAAGCGCTTACATCACAAGAATGTCGATGTAAGCGCTTACATCATATTTTCATCTCTTTTTTATTTTTTTTCTTTTGTTTTGTCTACTTTCACATACAACAATAGGTTTGGTCTTACCATCCATGAATGCAAATATGTACCAATTGATAAGATATAGTCTGCCCTGGATGCTTGGACTAATTAATAGTTCCCATCTTTATAAGACAAATTGTTGCAATTTGTTGAAAACTAGGTAAAAATAGCACGGGTTAGCAAGTTTTCGGATTGATCGTTTAAAAATAGCCAACGTTTGTAAAATCATTGAAAAATAGCCATTATTTTGCTGCAACAGGGACCGGTCCAACATAATGTACTGGAGATCGGTGCACCTGTGTATGAACTTCCAGCATATTATGCTATATTATACTGGATTGGTATATTATACTGGAACTCCAGTATATTATGTTGGAGTTCTAGTATACTTATGCTGGAACTCCAGTATATTATGCTGGAGTATTTTCCGAATTTTGAATAATGTTTTTATTCAGATTTATCTTTACATGAAAAGTGACTAAATTTCGATTACTTTTGAAACTGTATTTATTTTTGAATGACCACTAGAAAATGTGGCTATTTTTAAATTTCTCCCGAAAACTAGGGGAAAGGCTTGGTATTTTATCGTTCGTTTCACACCCTTGTTATTAGCAAATTGTTCGTATGTGCCTTTAACTTTAACATATCTCCAGTATGGATTTGGTGGATTTTCTATTTCAAAATTCTTCGACAAAAAAAGTTCAAATTTTTCTTTCTATTTTATACTATGGCATAAATTATCTTTCGGTATACGTTGGGCTAAAGGCCATTAGCCCAGACACATATAGTGCATACTAGGGGTGTACATAGGCAGGATTGGTTCGGATTTTTCAATTACCAAATCAAACTAATTATCTCGGATTTTTAAATTTATAAACCAAACCAAACCAACAAAAATCGGATTTTTCAATCACGGTTTTTCTCGGTTTTTCGTTTTTCTCGGGTTTTTCGGGGTTTTTTTCCGACAAAACCTTCATAGCATAAAATTAATAATTTGTACTCTAATATTTCTTGGGTCCTAGTAGGATAAAACTATATAAGATGTTACCCAATAAATGATACAAAATAATAGGAGATGAGTCATGATTATACTAAAATACTCAACAAATTTCATAAGATAAATATTGCTAATTAATAAGCCATAATAAAAATAAACATAATCTAAAAGTATTAAGTCATGTTAAAATAAGTACGACTAATAAGTACAACTAACAAGTACTAAGTATTAATTACATAACTAAATAATATTAAAAGTGAGTTATGCATTTTCACTATCTAAATCAATGCAAAACTAAAAAAATAAATACTATCTAATACTATTGTCATTTCTGGTATTGAATTGAATTTTTTTTTGTTAGCATTAGTATTAATTTGATTTTGCTTTGGGCTTTATTTGAGTTACTAACTTTTAGGGGCTATAAAACATATTTGACCATTCAAAAGTTCTAAGTGCAAGTTTGAAATAATACATTAAAAGAGAGAACTATTAAAGAGTTTAAATTATATTACAATAATTATTTTTATATATAAAATATTTTTAAAACTTGTATATATGTAATGTCGGGTTGGTTTGGTTTTGGTTTGGCTTTTTTTAGTTAAAACGAAACCAAACCAATTATGGTCGGGTATTTATTCTCACACCAAACCAAATCAAACCAAATTATTATCGGGGTTTTTTTTTCCTCGATTTGACTCGAATTATCGATTTGGTATGATTTATCGGTTTCCTTTGTACACCCTTAGTGCATACACCTTATGCACTATATTTTTCTGCCGCTGCAGTATCCTTTTGTTGTGTTAAAGAAATCATGCTACGTACATGTAATTCCACAACTGCACTTGTCTCTTAGGTGCGTCATTGATGTATTCAAACTTGATTTGGTGGCATGGCATTATTATTTTACAAAAAGGATGACATGGTTATCATTACAATAATGGTTAGACTAAGCAGATTAGTAAAACTGATTTCTGTATAATATAATATGCTTCTTTGTAAACTACAAGGACCGCTAAACATCAATGACTAGAACAAGGTAATGATATATATATATATATATATAAAAATATATATGGAAAATATTTTTTGGCGATTCAAATTTTTTAATATTATTTGTTTTATTAGGACTAATGTCTATTTCTGGAGTTACTTTCTTTTTCTCTTTTGTAATTTTTTCTATTTGATTATTGATTGTACTTGTTCTATCAATCAAATCCTTCATTTTGCTTTCTATCATTGAAGAATTTGGCCAATTTTCAGATTCAGTTTGACTAAATGATTCGTTAATTATCTGATTACTAAGTAGAGCATCTTTTTTTTTTTCCGTTTCATTCGATATATATATATGCGCGCGCGTATGTTTCATCCAATAATCTTGTATAAGATACTGCACTTAATTATAAAATTTTAAATTTTGTCGCAACCAATAAATCATGAGACTAAATAGCAGGAATTACTTCAAAACACAAATCAGTAAACTTAAATGAAAATTTGCAAACTAAAAGCAATTGACAAGTGCCTACAAAATAAAACAGGGAACAATTTTGCATATAAATGAAATTTGTCACCAAAACTTAAAATTCATAAGAAATTTGAACATCATATTCACTGATGATCAAACAACATAAGCATAAGAGAAAGTTAACAATCCCAAAGTTTCAGCCTAATAACTTATAAATATATGGTTCCACCAAAACCCCAATAGAAATATTAACATGCTGAAAACATCAGAAGAAAAAAAGGAAGTCCAACAGTTCTGATTGCAGTTTCAATACGTTCACTGAATCATTCGCGATGTTTTGGTGGCAGGTACTAGTACATCGAACCTTAGAGAGCCGCTGAACTCCATACAAGCCGTTACGAAGCGCCATCAGCCCATGTCAAGCTAAGACATAAACAGCCTTAGCCTTTGGCATGATGATACAACAACAACAACAACCCAGTGAAATTTCACTAGTGGGGTCTGGGGAGGGTAGTGTGTACGCAGACCTTACCCGTACTTCGAAAGAGTAGAGAGGCTGTTTCCAAAAGACCCTCGACTCAAGAAGACTATATCTCTCACCACCTTTGCTTGAAAAGTGTCGCGCACACCATTTTTAACAGAAAAGGTAATATAGAAAATAAAGACACGACAACCACCTCCATTCACCTTCAAAATGTCATCGACCTCATAACTGGTTTCCTGAAAATTCAACAGAGGTAACTTTCTTCGTTAGCAGAAGAAAACATAGGAAAAAGACAAATTGAGAAAAGTGCAGCGGAAGTATAAATTACTATCGTTGTATAGCTTAAGTGCCTTTCCAGCATAATCCTTCAACCTGTCAACATTCTTAGGATCATCCAAGTAGTATGGCATGGGGAAGACAGTCGTATCCAGCACCGTCCTGGAAAATCTTCGATATCAAAACCCTACCAAAGTACAATCAAACTAATAAGAGACAAACATCACCTATTGCAACCAATTTGCTGTGTAACAAGATAACCTTACAAGAATTGCAGAATCCGTATAGACAGAGTATCCAAAAATACATGGGCCTGCTGGTACCACATAACATAATATTTTGCTTTGGATATGTTACCCCTATAAATGCAGCCACTCAAAACCAAGTAAAAGCTACAAATAATTTATCTTATTCCTTTTCTTTTCTTTGGGCAAGTAAATTTTCATAACTCTGTCTCTCACCCTACATCCTTAATAACAGATAGAAATAGCCAAAGGGCGTGGAGGCGTGGACAGAGTCCATTGTACCCCATGATCCTGCCATTTGTGTGAAATGTGCATCATTATTACTAAACTCAGTAAACAAAGAATACGTACCAAAATGCATCTCATGGACTAACTATCACGCACCAATTGCTTCTTTGCTAATTTAGAGGAATAAACTTAGATAGTCCCTTAAGGATGGATAAGAGTATTTTTATCCTTTATCTATACAATAATATAGAACATTCTTTATGTAAGCAAAAGTGAGGGTCAGATGGTTCAGGCACGTACAGATGAGACACTCAAATGCCCCGATAAGGAGGTGTGAGCTGCTGGCTTTGGTAGGTACAAGAAGAGGTAAAGGGCGGCCTAAGAAGTAATGGGGAGAGTTGATCAGGCAGAACATGGCATGACTTTAGATTTTCGAGAACATGACCCTTGATAGGAAGTTGTGGATGTCAAGCATTAAGGTTGTAGGTTAGAAGGCAGTTGAGCATGTTTCTACTTCGTACCAGTGTGAGGCTAGTCTGCTAGGATTTTATCTTAGACTGCTAGTGGTTAATATTGTGTTCACACTACTCTTCCGTTTTTCATAGTGCCGGACTTTATTTACTGGTTATTGTTTTTGCTTCTCATCTATTTTTTGGTTCTTAAGGTGTTGTTATTACTTCAATGGTTTCTGTTGATAGTACTGATATATTGTCTTTTTTCGTCTTCTTGAGCCGATAGTCTATACAAAACAACCTATCTACTCCCTCGGGTACGGTTAAGGTTTGCGTACACACTACCCTCCCGGAGTGAACAGCTTCGGTCTAAGTTTATTCCTCGCTAATTTATGCAAAATCAGAAATGCACAGTCAGATTAAAATTAACGCAAGCACAACGAAACCATGGCTTTACAAATAAAAATGAGTATATATATACACATTACTTTACATGGCTGAGGTATAGATAATGCAAGACATACTCCATTACTAAGGTAATTTTTTTTTTCTTTAAAACATGAATAAAGCAAAATTCAGTCAGGTCCTCTCTTAACTTGAACACAAGGATCTAACAATATCTTAATTTGCACTTATTGTGCCTAAATCAGCTGAAAAACAGCTACTTTGACTCCAAAAATTTCACAAACGACTCGAATTAATCGTCAGAGAGTGGGAGAAAGCTAAATTATAGAGCAATTTCAAGTGAAAGGTTAAGATTTACCTCGCTCTCCCGAACCTGTCTGTAGTACTTCTCCCAGAGAGCTTTATCCATTTTCTCTGTGCCATTTGGGCAATAATCTTCCTCCGAATCATACTCGCTACAACTATCATCATCCTCTACATTCATGCCATCATCAATGGAAGTTACGTTACCACCGATCTTCTCATCACCTTCTTTGATCTTATGTTTCTTTTGCGGCGGGGACTCTGTTTCCTCTGCTATTGACAATGGCACGTTTTGTGACATTGTGCTCAACGACGGCGGCGGTGGTGGAGACGGCGATGGAGGCAGTAAAAGATTCACGTCGATCGTGAGAGAGAAAACTATACAATTGCCGGAAAAAAGGATTGAGAAATATGGCAAGGGCTACAGCCTTAGGCGGAATTTATATGTATTATTTCTATAAACGCTTACCTAATTTAAAAAGTTTCCATATTTGTGTTTTTTCCAATGTTCTATTGTAAATTATATTGGTTTTTTGGTTTTGCTGAGGGGCGGCAAACGAGCTGGTCGGGTCGCATATGCCGCAATCAAAAATGGGTAATAAAAACGGATAAATTATCTGACCCGACCCATATTTAATACGGATAAAAAATGGGTTAACCAACGTATATACATAGCTTCTTGAATATGATCACTTTTGGAAAAATTTCTAGTCTCTCAAACTTTAGGAATCTCCGATTTGAGGTTTTACAAATGTAAAAGTTAAACCTATTAGTTATCCATTGTTTATGCATTTTCTAAATGGATAATATGGTTCTTATCCATATTTGACCTATTTTTAAAAAGTTCAATGTCCAATCTTTTTTTAATTAATAATATGGGTGGTTAACTGTTTTTTGTCAATTTATACGTAAATCTTCAGTAATTGAAACATGCAATGAGATACTCTATAATGGAGGAAGGTTCTAGAGAGAAGGAAGAAGAAGATTTCTTATTACAGCCTCTCTAACATATATGAGTACACTGTTCTTATATAGAACATTGTTAACTACCCTTTTAAACAACTAATTACAACTTTCTCTAATTACAAATTGACTCCTACTACTTATCTTATATCACAACACTCCCCCTCAAGCTGGAGGGTGGAATACATCGAGCACTTCTTGCTTGTCCAAAGAGTAACTTGTGATGGGCTGTTGCAAGTCCTTTTGTCATTAGGTCTGCCATCTCTTGCTTTGTGGGAATGTAGTTAGTTGTGACCATTCCTTCCTTAATCTTTTCCCTTACAAAATGACAGTCGATTTCTACGTGCTTTGTTCTTTCGTGAAAAATTGGATTTGCTGCAATTTGTAATGCTGCCTTACTGTCACAATGAAGATGTATAGGTTCCTTCACTTTGTTTCCCAATTTTTCCAACAAACCATTCATCCATATGAGCTCTGCTACAGCTGCTGTCATGCTTTTGTATTCTGCTTCTGCAAAGCTTCTACTAACAGTTTGTTGTTTCTTGGATTTCCAGGACAATAGAGAATCACCTAGTTTCACCACATAACCTGGCACTGACCTCCTAATGTTTGGGCAAGCTGCCCAATCTGAATCACAGTATGTTGTGAGCTCATCAGTGGCTTCACCTTTTAGCAAAATTCCCAGACCTGGCCTTCCTTAACATATTTGACAACCCTTAGGGCTGCTTCCATATGTGACTCTTTAGGATGTTGCATGAACTGGCTCAATACTTGGACAACAAAGGATATGTCTGGCCTTGTGATTGTCAAATACAATAGCTTGTCAATTAGCTTTTGATAGTTGCCTGCTTCCTGCAACTCTGCATCATTGATATTTCCAGCATGCTTGTCATATTCAACTATGGTAAGCTTGTGATTTTGTTCCATTGGTGTGGATACTGGCTTGCAAGCACTTAGTCCAACTTCTGAGATCAGTTGCAAGGCATATTTTCTCTGATTGAGTAAAATGCCATTATTGGATCTCATCACTTCAATTCCCAGAAAGTATCTGAGTTCCCCTAAGTCTTTCATCTTAAAATTGTTGAGTAGAGTCTCTTTTGCTTCCTGAATCAAACTACTATTACTTCCTGATATTAGAATATCCACATATACCAATACAATGACAATATCTGCCTTATCCCTTTTGGTGAATAGTGAATGATCATAAGGACTCTGAGTGAAACCAGCTTGTAATAGTGCACGTGTTAACTTGATGTTCTATTGCCTCGAGGCTTGCTTGAGGCCGTAGAGGAATTTAAGCAGTCTACATACTTTAGACTCCCCTTGATTGTGAAATCCTTGAGGTAGCTGCATGTAGACTTCTTCATATAAGTCCCCTTGTAGGAATGCATTGTTGACATCCATTTGGAAAAGAGGCCAGCCTTTAGATGCTGCAAAAGTAATGCCAGTTCTGATAGTCACCATCTTAGCAACAGGAGAAAAAGTTTCATGATAATATAAGCCTTCCTGTTGTGTGTATCTTTTGGATACAATCGAGCTTTAAACCTTTTAACCTCACCATTGGCTTTATACTTGATTTTGTACACCCATTTGAATACAATGGCCTGTTTATCTGGTGGAAGATTGACAATCTCCCATGTATGATTGTCTTCTAAAGCTTGGATTTCTTGTTGCATAGCAAGTACCCAGTCTGGATCTGCTGCTGCTTCCTTGTATGATGTAGGCTCCACTGAAGTAGAAAAAGCTTGAAGATATGTCTGATATATAGTTGAAAGTTGAGTATAAGAGAGATGATTGGACATAGGATATATATATATATATATATTTGCCTGGTAGTTTAGTGGTGACATAGTCCTTGAGCCAGAGTGGTTGCTTGGTGTGAGCACGTGATTTTTGCCTTACGAAAAACTGCTCCAAAATAAATCAAAATAAATTTCT